TTTCCAGCCAGAGCCACTCTTTGCTGTGTGTGCAGGTAGAACCTCACACGCAGAGATTACAGTTGCAGGACTCTCAGAGCTATTGTAATACCAAAAAATAATAACTGTTCTTACAGACTGACACAATTAACCAAATTCCACTCACAGATCATTGTTGGCAACTCGTGCAGCATTTTATGTAGCTGAAGTTGGAGACCAGTTCTATTCCTGAGTTCCATCTCCGGCTCTAATGAGCAATAACTGAATAAGTCTGGCATTCAGTTCACCTACCAGTAAAAGAATTACTTTCCTCACGGAGCTTTTTACATTTAACCAGAATTTTTAAATGAGCTTTGACATTCTCAGATGAAAAGAATAATGTGCACAATGTATTATTATAGCAAAAACTGTATATGACAGATTCCTACATGTTTTCCTGTCTTTTGTCTCACCTTTCCTGTCACCATACTCCTACACCTGACTCAATACACACCATAAATGTTTGAGTGACACCGACTTCAAACTGATGAATTATAATTAATGTACTCGTTCTTTGCTGAGCAATGTTGTGTTTATTTTTATCTGCCACTTTTTGGATAGAGACAGAGGTTACTTCCCCTGAGAGTTCTACATAACAAGGGAAGTTTTTAATGATACCCACAAAAACCGCTGCCACTTGGTAACAAGACAATGGATGAAATACACACAGAGTGTAAAATTTTTGCCTCTAGTGCTGTTCCCAAGGGTCCAAATCTAGACGTGATAGTCAACTTCGCCTGGGATTCAGCAAGAGTTTTCCTGCTGTAGGACTGAGGAAGATAAATAAGAGTTTCAAGAATTGGCCAGAGTTAAAACCCTGGAAAGCAAACATTTATAAATTGCCTCTCTTTTAATTTCCCTGTGAACGGGAAGGTGGAGAGAATCTTCTGTCTATCTCCTTGCAGAAGCACAAAAGTAGGGTTTTATCTAGTCCTCAACATGTCTGAAAAGCTTATGCCTCATGTTCAGAAGTGTCTAACGTTTCTTTGACTTTCAATTTAATATTTTAAAGAGTATTTTGACTGCCTCTTTGCCTCTAGTATCTGGGAACAAGCACAGGTGTTAGGTAACCATACATCTCTTCATGGATTACAAGCAAGTGCTCTGGTAAGTTAGAAATGTTGGTGTAGAAAAAAAAAGAAGTCTAATGTCTAATGGAAATTTAATAAAAAATAAAAACTAATACAAATAGGATCACTGGATTTTTGCAGTGACATATTCTTAGTCACTGCCTGTTGTCTGTGTTATGAACTGCTGTCCTGCTTCAAGGCAATTATCAGCCCCAAAATATTTTCATCCGGAGGTTTAAACTGCAACAACTGTGAGGACATGTGGAAGATTCTTCTGTCATTATCTCACCCTTCAGTTCTAACATGAATGCTTGACTGGGAAGGTCTGTGCTAGTGGAGATGAATAAACAGTTGTAGCTGGTATTTGACTGGTTAATGTGTGTGCCAGGCTGTGTGTGCAGTGCTGGGGAGGCTCAGCAGTTCCTGGGGGCTGTCAGACTGATCACACACAGCAAACCTGCCCTGTGTCTCTGCCTCTGGCTCCCAGCAAGCCCTGGTGAGCCAGTCAGGCTTTGCTGCCAAGTACAAGCTTGTGTCTTCTTGAAATGTGCCTTCAACTCACAGGTGTACTCAGGAACTTAAAAGCTTTCATATACTCTAAAAATTTGTCTTGCACTCCAAGAGAGAATCTTTGTTCTTAATACAGAGCCCAAGCCTGCAAGTTCTCTATGGAAAACCAGGCTCCCAGCAGAGATGTGCAATTGTTAAGCAGTTGGTTGCATTTCAGTGATGGTAAAATAATCCTTGTTTTGTATTTATCTACAATAATTTCCAATTTTTTGGGATGGAAGGCTGTGAAACCGTGAGTTGCTATGAATTACATTGACTTACTTGCATGATCATATATATGCCCGTTTTGCCTTACAGAAATACTTAGGGGGAGATGTACTCTTCTTTTTTTCACACATCACTGCATTGTATTGGAGAGGATTTTAGCACATTTTCTGATTTCATTTGCCAAACTGGAGGTTCAAGTTTAAAATTTACTGCTGACTTGACATCCCAGAAAGTAAGCACGATTACCAATTATGACTCTGTCTTGTAGGAACATATCATACCAAGGAAAGAAAAACTGGAGATCTGAAATTTAACTTCAAGGAGCAAATATGAGATTTCCTTCACAAAGAAAGGAAATTGACTCTGTTTTGTCAATTCTTTAGGAAAATGTGCAGTTATAACTGTACATTTAAACCCTCAACAGTTATTCAAGGACTAAAACTGCCTTAGAGGTTAGTTACAGGTTGTGAAAACATTAGAAAGATTTGAAGGGAGGTAACTGAATACTTATCAATAAACCCTCTACATTTTGGGGCGTTCTTTTGTTACTGTCTCAGAGATATTAAATTCATATTCTTTTACTATTTACATGTATTTATAATCTTTTTAATATCAATATACCCTTTTTTTGTTGATAATAGCTAGTTTTAGGGTAGTAAAAGCAGATCTTGGAAATATTTTTTAACAGTACAGCAGTTAAAATTCATGATTACTTGGTTTTAGATATATCAGTGTATCACCATAATCTTGTACTTCAGGAATACCTGGTAATTTATAGACTAAACAAGGGGTTCTAGTAGGGAAGATGCCACTTGTGCCTGCTTGGAACTAGCTTCAAAATTGCCATCTGTATTTCAAATTATAGACCTTAAAAGACTAATCTAGAGAAAGACAATATAGCAAATTACAAGTGAGAAGAGAGGGAAAAAAAGCCCAAGAAGATACAACTACATAGTCAAGAGACCCAAATTAAATAGAAGGAAGAAAAGCAAGCTGCACACATGAGTTTACCTTGTCTGAATTGGAAGATATTCATATTAATCAATCTTGGGAGATGCAGACAGACTAAGGAAAGAGTCATCTTCACTTCAGGAAGGCCTTGAGACATTTGCCCCTTGGGAAGGATTTCATAATCTTGCATTTATAAAGTTGTGATGCTTTGCTTACCTTTTATGCCCAGCAGTTACAATTGCTGTATGTGAAACCAGAGAAGGAAGGGGTGGCAGCTCCTTTCTGCTGCTGTTTGCACAGGGAAGCACAATACAAACCCTGCACATGCCACAGCCCTTGTGGGTGGCAGCGAGGACATAGCTGGTGGGAAGTGACAGCTGGGAATACAAAAGACAAAACAATGGGGATTTGGAAGTAACAGGTGGGAGCAGCATTCAGAAAAGTATAGTCAAGACTTCTAGGGAGGCAGGAACTAACCCAGGCCTCATTGAATAGGTCCAGTAGAAAAGCAATTTGAAGAGGCAAAACAGGAAAAGAGCAGGAAGACTATGCTAATGTTGTATGACTGGGGAAGGAAATACAGACAGCAAATTCCTACTTCATCAAAACTGTACTTGTTCCTTAGCCCAGTCTGTATCCTAACACCCATCTGTGAATGATATGCTGCTGCTTTTGATGGAAAAGAGTGACTTGGCTATTCCTTTAAGAGCAAACACGGGTGAGCAGTAGCTGTGGAGCTGCACTGAGCTCTTCCATGACAGGTGGACAGGAAAGGGACAAAAAGGGTTATTTAAAGTCTGCCTGCTCTTGGTGCAGTGGCAGGTGTGCTGGCAGGCAGCTCTGTGACCTTCTGGAGTAGAGCTCCACAGTAACTGAGCTGGATGTGACTGACAGGGCTCTGTGCCCTCAACACAGAATGTCCCAAGTTATTTATATGGGTTTATTTAGTCTCGAGGAGGCTGAAGAGGCATCGCTCATTGCTCTCCACAACCACCTGAATGGAAGGCTGGAGGCTGATCTCTTCTGCCTTACCTGCAGTGAGAGGACAATGGCCTTAAGCTGAGATGGGAGATTCTGATATTTGAGAGAGATTTTTCCCTGCTAAGGTGGCCATACATTGGAACAGGTGGAGTCACCATCTATGGAGGTGTTCAAGAGGTGTCTGGATCTCACACTGGGTGATGTGATTTAATGGTTTGGGAGTTTACAGTGGCAGTATTGGATGAACATTGGACATGATGTTCTTAAAGGTTTCTTCCAACCTTGGTGATTCCATGATTGCTTTATGCCATGTCCCAGGTAAGGCAGGGAGTGTGGATGCCACATCCTCAGAGCACGGCAAGCTGGAAACGCGACTTCTCTCTCGTCATGGACGCGCTGGGCATAGTCCCGTGGCAACGTCTCAGGCAGCGGAACCGCAGCCTTGAGCTCCGTTTGGGGGTCGGGGGTCCAGAAATCCATTCCTGCCCCTCGATATCCCCCGGTCGGGGGAGGGGACGGGCCCCACCTCGATGGGGTCGATGCCTCCACGGGCCGTGAGGGGACGGGGCGGACGTAGGGGGGAACTCATGCGGCCTCGCGCGCGCCACCACAGCGAGGGCGCGCGGGCACGTGCAGCGCGCGCATGCGCGGCCCATTCCCCTACACACCCCCGCGCGCGCCCCCGCCGTCCCGCGCGCGCCGTCCTCTGTGTCTCCGCGCCGCGGACACGCCCCCCAGCGCCCCCTGGCCAATGAGCGCCCGGTTTAGGGCGGTCGGGGGGCGCGGCCTTCCCGCAGCTGCGCACGCGGGGCCTCCCCGGCGTGTGTGTGTGTGTGCTGAGTGCAGTGCGCCTGCGCATCGCGCCGCCCGCGGCACAGCGCGCCCGGGGCGGGGGGCTCGGTGCGCACGCGCGGTGCGGCCGCCGTGGCCCGGCCGGGCGGGGGGGGCCGCGCATGCGCGCCGCGTGCCCGCCCCTCGCCAGCAGCAGAGGAGGAGGCGGCGGTGGCGGCTCTGGGCGAGGGAGCGCGAGGGGAGTGAGAGGCGCCGTTGCCGCCCCGGTATTCGGCAGGACCGCGCGGAGGAGGCGGGAGCGCCCCGGCGGCGGAGGGACCTGAGTGGCGGCGGCGGCAGCAGCAGCAGCAGGAGGAG